GGCCACTAGATCCCCCCTCAGCCTTCTCTTGTGGAGGCTGAACAGGTTCAGGTCCCATCGCCTCTCCTCGTAGGCTACTGCTGCCCCCTGATCATGCGAGTGGCCTCCTCTGGACCCTCTCCATGCTGCCCACATCCCTCCTGAAGTGCAGTGCCCAGAACTGGATGCAGTACTCCAACTGTGGCCTGACCAGTGCCGCATAGAGGGGGAGGATCACCTCCTTGGACCTGCTCGAGATGCATCTGTGGATGCACGACAAGGTGCAGTTGGCCTTCCTGACCGCGTCCCCACACTGCCGGCCCATGTTCATCTTGGCATCAATGATGACTCCAAGATCCTTTTCTGCCTCTGCACTGACGAGAAGGGAGTTCCCCAGTCTGTAGGTATGGTGCCGGTTCTTCCTCCCCGGGTGCAGCACCTTGCACTTGTCGGTGCTGAATCCCATCCTATTCTCATCTGCCCACCCCTGTAACCTGTCTAGGTCCAATTGTAGCCTATTCCTCCCTTCTAGTGTGCCCACATCCCCCCACATCTTAGTGTCATCAGCAAATTTGAACAGGTGCTTTTCACCCCCTTGTCCAAGTCGCTGATGAAGATGTTGAACAGTGCGGGCCTGAGGACCGAGCCCAGGGGGACCCCACTGCCCACATCCCTACGACCCGTCCACCACTCCTCTCTGGGTGCGGCCCTCCAGCCGGTTGGCGACCCATCTGACTGTGTGGGTGTCGACACCACAGCCCCCCAGTTTCTTAATGAGAACGGGGGGAGAGACAGTGTCGAAGGCCTTCTGCAAGTTCAGGAAGACGATGTCCACTGCTACCCCTGCGCCTAAGGATTTGGTGACCTGGTCGTAGAAGGCCGCCAGGTTGGTCTGACAGGACCTGCCCCTAATGAACCCGTGTTGGTTGCCCCTGAGCATAATCTCCCCCCCTGGCCCCTCGCAGACATGCACCAGAATAATTCTCTCAAAAAGCTTGCACAGGATCGAGGTTAAACTAACTGGCCTATAGTTTCCCAGGTCCTCCTTCCTCCCTTTTTTTATCTTAATGCTCCATCGATTGCTGAGCATCAACAGTTGGATTCAAAAATTGCAGCTAAGGGAGTCCACTATCAGGCAAGCAGGGAGGGGAATCGGTCGGGGCTTGGCCTCACATTTTGTCCTCAAACCAGCAGGAATGAGCAGGGGGAAGGTGGTATTTCTCTTTTGCTTTTGCACAGTATAAGAAACTGGGCTCTGCAAAACTCCCGCTAGCCCTCCGCATCTGTGAGGCTGATACACCCTCTTGTGGAAGCAGAAGCATCAAACTTCCTCCTTGCAGGACACGGGGCTGCATTTATGCTATGTCTTACCTTTACCCAGCTTTAATTCTCTGAGGTTGCTTTTCTTGGCTCAAACACTTGGTCTTGCCTTGAGTTTCCAGGAGAATTAATTCTGCTGAAATCACCTCCCCTTCCAACCTTTTTTTTTTTTTTTTTGCTTGTTTTAAACCCATGTGAAAGGAGTGCCTTTTGCATGACTGCCCCTGAGCACATGAAATGCAAGTTTAAAAAAAAAAATGCAGATACCAGGTGCCTTTCCAGCCTGGCTCTGGGCTCTGTTGCAAACGCTTGCAAAGCTCTTTACCTCCCATCTTATCTTCCGAGTGAGTTGGCATTTCAGGTTGTGCATTCAACTCTTGAGTGCCTTGGCTGCCGCCTCCTCATCTGTGTTTAGACGGAGACCTAGAGTTTAGCTTTGATCAGGTGGGTTCGACCTCCCACATCAGTTGCCTTTTCTCTCTACTATCTTAAATATTTTAAGTAATGGGCTTTCTGCTACTTCTCAGGGCTTGTCTGAGGGAGAGGGCTGCATGACTTTAACTGAAGACCGCATTTTAAATTTATTTCCATAAGCCAGTGGGCTGTGTGGGGAGCCTTTACAATTTGCTTTCAGTTCACTTGCCCATTGGAGGGTTTATACATGGTTCTGCACTGGTTTAACTATAGATTGGGTTAAAATGACACTACTGAGGGCTCTTCCCCCGGAAAGTTACTGTGAAGTGAGTGAGAACACTGAATCCCAGAGTAAATGCTCTTGGCGTATTGGGTAGCTCACTCCACTTTCATTGGAGTATCCCACAGGGATGTTTGTGTAGAGCAGGCAATGATCTGTGAACGCACCTCCTTTGTTGCAGACCAGGTCCTTTGGGTAAACCTGATAACTTTTATTAGACTCACTCAAAAAGTTGGGAAAATTCTTCTTTGCACGCTTTCGGGTATAAATGCCCTTTGTCAGGCTGAGGAAGCATCTGCAGTTGGTGAGGAAGCATCTGCAGGGTGTTTATACCCGAAAACTTGCAAAGAAGAATTCTTCCAACTATTTGAGTTGGTCTAATACAAGAGATCAGATTTATCCAAAGAGCCTTGTCTGCCATGTCCTTCGACCAACCCGGCTACAACCTAGACCCCCTTGTTTCATTCACTTGTGCCAGCTCTCTTGGCCACTGCAGGTAGGACAAGCTCTGCAACACTTTTGTGCTAGTGGGGCTAACGGAAAGATCACTGCTCCCCCTCCTATCCTCTGCTTTACCCATTGCCTTGGTCCTTTTCTGCACCAGGTTGATCAGTGTGGATGACTCGATACTGAAGGCGAGAGAGGAGAACGCTGTGAAGTACCAGAGGACGTTCCTGGGCTGTGAGATGATCGACTGGCTCATCAAAGAAGGGGAGACTGCCAACCGAAAGGAAGCGATAGAGCTAGGCCGGGCACTGCTGGAGCATGGGATCATTCAGCATGGTACGTGGGACCCCCCCGGGATGGGGCAGGCAGGGGGAGGATGGGGCTTCTCTCCCTGTAGTGCTGGGAACAAGCCTCCATTCGTGCCACGCAGCAAATGCTCGTCATGTGCTGAGCGCCGGTTCCTCCTCAGCGATAGTAATGAGCCTATTGAGTGCTATCTATGGAGAACGGGATCTTTGGCAGCCGGACTGTCTGAGGCTGCCCTCAAAGGCTTTGAGATGCAATCTGAGCCATTCCTTGGCACTTCTTCAAAGCTTCAAGCCCAAGCCTGAGCTAGGATCCATTTCTGGATGTTGAAGGGTGCGTGTGTATGTATGCATGTGCGAGAGAGAGAGAGGAAGCAGGGAGGGAGATCAGATCCAGCACTTGCCATTAACACTAGAAGCAGCTGAGCTGAGGGAACTGGGCCAGGGTCGGGTCCTTTTCTAAGTGATGGATGCCTGTATCAGAGATTCAGATATTTATTCATATCTTTGTTGGGGAAGAACGGCTCCTACCCTTTCAAAAATGAGAGGCGACCCAGGATAGTTTCCTGACGGTATTTGCAACTAGGGGTCAAATGAGTTCTCCCCAGCACAGGAGCATGCAATTTAGTGGGGGGCTACAGCCGGCAGGGGAGGTCACCTCCAGGAAAGGTGCATTTACCTTGAGCCAGTCTGGGCTGCTACACTCTCCTAGCTACTTTCAGCAGTAATTAAGTATATTGGGCAACTGAGGAGAGAGAGGTTTTATTAGGGGCAAAGAGCCCCTTGAGTGTTTAACAGCATGGGACGATGGGAGGAAGGGGATTTTCAAAGCTCCCTAAGCTCATGGGGGCTGAGCATAGGTGCTCTTAAGCTGTCTCTGGAAAGACTGCCCTGCCATTTAGCCCCTCAGCTGCAGTAATGGGCAGTTTTTAATGGAAGGCTGCTTATATCACGGTAGCAATGTCTGGTTCAGCCCGTGGCTGCTAAGGCAGCATCGAAGGGGACACGGCTCTGAATCCTCCCTGGCATCCAGGTGGAGAAAGGGAAAGTGGGAGGGTGTCCTCTGGTTGCGGTTGGTCCCCCCTTCCACTCCCACGCACCCTGTGTTGGCGAACGTGGGCATAAGGACATGCATTGCATTGCAACCCCTAATTATAAAGACCGGAAAATGTTGTCATTTGAATGCATTCATTCAGAGCCTTGTGATTTGCCTTGTGCTCCCAAGCTGGGAGGCCTGCTTGCTTGCAACGATGAGGACGAGAAACTCAGGTTATTTAGGGAAAATGGAGTTTCTTGCCTAATCACTCCACTCTGGGAGCTGGGGCGTAAAGGAGAGCAGCAAATATGGCCAGAGTTGTCGGCATGGCTAAGAGCGCATGTGTTCGTGCTCAGAGACCCACCTGCCTGCCCATCCTTTCTCTCCTCAGTGTCCAGCAGGTACCACTTCTTTGACAGCAACCTCCTCTACCAGTTCCGGATCAACTTCCGCCGGAGGCGCCGGCTCACGGAGCTGCTCAATGAGAACTCGCCTCGGGCTCTGTCGGACAGCCCAGATAGTCCCTTCTGCCTCCGGAAGCTCAACCCAGACCAAGGCAACACCAGCTTTCTCTCGGGTACCTGCTCTTTACACTGAGCAGCAGCATTGAATGGGGAGCAGGAAACAAGCAAAGCAAGGAGAGAGGCTGGGAAAATGCACCTCGACCCTGGGGGTGGGAGATGAGGATCTTGTTGCAAGTCTTGCTGCTCCCATCCTTGAGGCCCCAGCCTTGGCTATTTCCAAAGAGGCAGAGCTTGTGGGGCCAAACCATTCAGACTGCTTGCACCCCCCAGAATGGAGTGGGAATCTCACGAGGACCCTGCTGGAACAGGGAAACGGGGAACTTCGGACCCTAGGGGAGCAGGGAAATTTGGGAGCAAGGGAGAAAGGCTTAACTGTCTGCATCCCTACTGGGATTCACTTGCGTCTGCCAACACAGATCCAGTTGCTGTTTGTGTTCATGTCTTTCAGTACAGCCCAACAAGGAGATAAAACTTGTCTCAGCTGTTCGCCGAAGCAGCGTCACGTCTCTGGCTGGAAGCTCCAACCCCTATTTCAGTGCTACCCCCAGCTTGGGATTCCTGCCAGCAACTGAATGCAACCCCAAATCAGGTCCGGACGTGTTTCCCTGCCATGCTGATGAAGGGGCAAGGCGGGATTTCAAGCCCAGTGGTTTTTGCTTGGGTTTCTCCCCCTGTTTTGTATGACTGGAGTGATGTCAGCTGTTAAACTAGTGCTAACAGAGCTTGCTTGAAGAGGTCAAAGGGGGAAGGGAGGAATTGCTTCAGTTCCTGCTGCCTGTAACATCTCTGTGCCTCTTCTGGATCAGGGGGCAGGGATGCAGCATGAACCAGTGACGGTAACCAGGACATCATTAGCTTTGCTTTTTCATACTGAAAGTAGAAGTTGGTTTCCTTTAGGAGCCCATTGATCTTTCCCTTGCATAAATGACTCTTTCCCTTAGATGCCGTATGCCACATCATCTTGTGAGGAAAAGCTGCTTTGCTTTAAAACACTATTAAAAAAATAAACCAGGAAACAAGTTTTAAAGTGATGGACCCTGGACCATAACTGGTTTTTCCATCTATTCTCTGTGGAGGTGGGGACAACGGGATATCTGTCATCGTCGTCTTGCTTTATTGCATCTTCAGAACAGCTTGATCTCGAAACATTGGTATTCAGGGGGAGTGCTGACTTTTTTGGCTAGCCCTTGACAGTGCTCTTTTGGGAGGGTGTATGTGTGTTTATTAAAGCACTTCAGAGAATTATCTCTGCAAAGAAGTTTTAAAGACTGTGTGTGTGTATGTGCATGTGTGCATGCACATGCGTGTGCACACACCTGCCAGAATTTTTCAAGTTCTCATTGATAAGTAGACTGCTTATATCTGTATTCAAATACTGAATGCTTGCATGCTCCTTTTTTTCTTGTGGAAAAACTTTGTGGAAAGTTTATTCAAAACAAAACAAAGCTAAAAAAGCAGCTGAAAACTTGTGACCAGCACTAATGTTTCTCTGCTGGAGAAACAGCTCAGGAAGAGGTCTTGGTGTCCGTCGGTGTGTTCGGTTCTTGGAGAACGCTTCTGCACGGAGGGCTCCCACAACCAGTCTCCAGGCGGGGAGTCCCCCGGCTTCCTTGTTATGCATTGGACCGTACAAAACCTTTGCATATGTTGATTCTGATGGGATCTGTCTCCTTTGGCTCTAGTGTTAAAGAAGCCTGTCACCAACGAGGAGCTCCTGTCCCCTGGGGCGCCGTACATCAAGAAAACGCTAACCGTAAGTGACCACTACGAATGCCACTGCTAATGGGATGCTGCTAACCTCTCCTGGCTGCGCTGCAGCTTGCTGCTTGCCATTGACTTCTCTGTGCAGAAGACCCAGACTCCTCCTTTGTGAGATTTTTGGGTGATGGCATTGGATTTTTGGGTGATTTTTGGCATATTCTTTGGGCTGGAGCTGGCAGACACTGTCTTGAGGGTGCTGCTACCTGCGGTAGTTTCATGCATGTTGCAGGCAGAGGAGTCACAAGACGGGGAGCAAAGCTGCCCTTTGCATTGCATCCCATCCTGTTTAACTGCAGCTGTGTTTAACCAAGACCATGTGCCATTCATTTACCTTTTCTCTGGAAAGAAGACTACTTCTCCATGTAATTTTGTGAGGGTGCTCTAACCCCATTTATGTCAGAGAGTTGAAGACATCTCTGGCTTTACCGTGGAGTTTTTTATGGGCTCACAAGAACCTGTCCTGACCAACAGGACTGCTAACTCCTGTTTCTTCTGGTGAGTTGCTGGGCACGACCCATCCCTTTATGAAGCTAGTAATTACCGAGCTGAGGCTCTGGGATGCCATGAGGAGCCTAAGCCATGGTTTTCTTAATTATTATTTGCCTTACTTTGAAATCTGCTGGTAGTTCCTTTGAAAGATGAAGCTGGCGCTTTGCTAAGTGCCTTATGAGCATGTAGGGATGCAATCCCCACCCTGACTCGTCCTGTAAATGCTTATTTGCGCAGAGCTCCTGGTCTCTCCCTGGCGCAGGAGGGAAGAGAACGTGTCTCTTATGCAGGAGCCAAATAATTTAGTCTGGCTCGAAGACACTTGGAACAATTATCCCCTGAAGCAGGGATAATTCCTAGCTAGACCGTTAAGAAGGCTTTATGGCACACTTGTCCTATCAGCACAATGCAAAGGGGCTGTGGCTCTGTCCCAGGGTGAGTACTGTCAGGCTGGGCCTTTCCTCTGCTGCTGCGGTTCCTCTCATGGACCACTTTCCCTTCTTAGCTGTGCTGCTTGAATCCTTTTTTGGGGAGTGGGAAATGGAGTCTCTGCATAGAGCTGATAAAAGCAAAGTGCTTATACTACCTCATTCGGGGACAAAATAGATGAGAAATGAATGAGAAGCTGTTCCAGGAATAACCACTGGCTTAGGTGAAAAAAGTATCCGTGTACTACGGCCCCAGACAGAATAAGGCCTGAAGAGACCCTGCGGTTTTGGTGTACCCAAAAGCCTGGTGTTATAGCCCTGGAAGCTCTGACATCCAGGTGTGTTAATTTTGGAGAGATTAGAGGTCCCTCATGAAAGGTGGGATTATTTGGAGGATGTGTAATTGCAGTTTAAGGTCGGATGTGTTGTGCAATTGCAGTTTAAGATCAGATGCCTTTCAACAGTCTCTCCAGTGACAAATACCTCCATATAGCAAGTGCCAGTGGCACTCGGGGAAAGGATCAAACCAGTAACAACCACCAGTGCAAAACAAATTGACAGGGGTGATTTAAAGGACTCCAGGAAGCAGGGCAGAGACAGGCCATCAGACTGCAGGCACCTGAATGGACTATGGAGAGCAAAGAAATAATCAGAAAGAAAAAGCCCAAATATTGCAAGAAGTGTGGGGAGTAGGATTGCAGTGTGTCCTAACGATGCAGCTACCCAGGAGATGGGGGGAAGCAGCAGTCCCTGCAGTGGAGACGGATGCAGAGGGGGGTGTCTGCAGCGTGACCCTCTCGTATTCAACGTCTCTTTCTGGCTTCAGAAGAAAACCAGGAGCCATTCTGCTGCTGCACTCGCAGACGCTGTTGTGACACCAACAACTGCTTTGATTCCAGCAGGATTGTGTCACCAGCTGCCACGTAGCCCCAGCAACGCTGATAAGCAGAAATAGTAGACTGGAGATATCTGATACACGGTAGAGCCATTCGGAGATGCAGACAGGCAGTTGACGGGATACCCACAAAACAAGCGATGTTGCTTGGGGCTGACACGTGGGAATGTCACCCGTTGCTGGACAACAGGATGGTACAAATCACGGTTTGGAGGCCGGTAGAGAACCATACCCGCCCTGTGAGAGAGCACTTACCATGGGCTTATTTCGCTCTGCAGACTATGTCTTGGCTTGTAATGCTAAGGCAACCTTTATTTAAATTAAAGGACTTTCACTTTTTTTCCTAGGGAGGGTAGGAGTGGGCAGTCTGACTAGGCTCACTACAGTTTGAGGTGCATCAGAATTGCCAATGGAAGTGTGTTTAGCAAGGGATTAATTCTTGCAAAAGCACACCTTTTCATCAGAAGCACCGTATTCAGGAGACAGTGCTGCGAGGAGAGAGAGAGAAACAAAGTGACTTGAGAAAAGTATTTCAACACGTATTCGTTTTCGTTAGAAATGGATGGTTTGGGCAGCTGACTGCACTCTGTCCAACTTCCGGAGAGTCACAGGCATTCACTTCTAGGGTTCGGTTTGGCCACCACTGCCATTCTTACACTTAAAAAAAATATTTTGTAATGTATGAGGTTCCCTGGCAAACTTTCATGCTGGTAGAGAGATGCAAAAGAGCCCCCTGATAAAATCACAGAAAATGAGGGTTGAAGGGACCTCAGGGGGTCACATCTAGTCCAACCCCCTGCTCAAAGCAGAACCAGCCCCAACTACATCATCCCAGGCACGGTTTTGTTTAGCTGGGTCTTAAAAATATCCAAGGATGGAGACTCCACCAACTCCATCTTCCAGTGCTTTATTACTCTCCTAATGAAACATTTCTCCTCTAACCTCAGCTTCCCTTGCTGCAGCTTGAGCCCATTGCTCCTTGTTCAGTCATCTACCCACACTGAGAACAGTCCAGCTCTGTCCCCTTTGCAGCCCCCCTGCGGGGAGTTGAAGGTTGGTTTAGTTTCTGTAGAAAGGAGATCTTAACCTAGTGAGAAGCAGGGCATCTTGTGCCTTAGTGATGGGCTTTTGATACTAGATCTCAGCTCCCCTGGTGCTGAGGAGCTTTGTGCCCATTCCTCCTATGGAAACAGGGTTTGAATCTTGCAGAGCATTTCTACTAGGATGGAGGGTACTTCCACCAGGTCATGGTATTAAGGGTATGCACCTGTAGGTCCTGTTGATGTAGAACATATGGGGCACATGATGATGGAAGTGTTTTAATGGGATGACCTTATCTCCAGTTCAGCAGGACTTCCTGAAGACTATCACCCTAGAGAAAATCACTCCACTGCTCTTCACCTACCCTCTGTTCTGCTTGTAGATTGTAGGGGATGCTGTGGGCTGGGGGTTTGTGGTCCGAGGAGGGAGACCCTGCCACATCCAGGCTGTGGACCCTGGAGGACCTGCTGCTGCAGCTGGCATGAAGGTATTGTCCTCTCTTGCCCTTTCTGGTGTGTTATTTGCCTTCTGATCAAACACAGTTTCATCCTTGATTGCAGCGGGAGGAAAGAATTAACCCATAGTCACTATCATGTTTTAAAGCATCTCTCTCCATGCTGGCTATGTGTTATGGCGCTTGGCTCTTTTCAGGAATATATGGAGAACGGTGAGTGCTGTTGTTTTACCTCCTAATCCTCAAAGAGGAAGAGAAGCTGATGGGAGGAAGTGAATGCAACCCATTGCATTACCGCTTGGACACTTTTTTTGTTTCTGCAAGCCATTGCCAGCAAGAACCCGTGTCACTTAATACCTGATGGGTGCTTGAAAACAAGCTGTGGCTTGTAGGTCCCGTGACTGGTTTGTTCTAAAGAATTCCTTAGCTTATTTATTGAATAGCTGCTGGCTCTGCTTGGAAGAGACCCAGGACAAAGCTGTGCTCCAGAAGACAAGAGGGAGTGCTTTGTCCCAGCGGAGCACGAGGAGCGTGGCACAGAGCCCGTGTCTGCTAGCAGCAGCGTGGTCACTGTGATTTTCCCCGTGTCGGGGTTGTCCACACGGCCAGCCCATTTCCCAGACATCACTGCTTGAATGAGAGGAGCAACTCATTAGCTGGCTGCTATCATCACTTTGCAAAGGACGAAGTGAGCCCTGCTCTGCTCATGCATTGCATTTTGCTCACTGGATAAGTTCTCTTCCCTCTCTCATGGGAGAATCCATCTTGTGTAAAATGTGGGTATTCCATTTTTGTCCTAAATTAGGATGAAAAGGGAAAAGTATGGACACTCCCCACTGAGGAAGGTGAGGGAGGGAGGAGAATTAAAAAAAAAATCTTTGTTCAGATTTGGGGTGTTTGGTCTGTGCCCTGGACTGAACCGCATCCACCTGAGTTTCCTCGGAGCTGGTAGGAGTTATACGTCAAGTATCTTGCACCTCTGTTTGGTTCTGTGGGTTGTTTTACATAGTCACAGGTTTCCCATCACCCGCTGCAGGGATTCAATTAGGGAGACTGCAGTGCATCAAGGGAGAGCTAGCACATCCTGAAGTTCAGCTCAGAGGGAAATGGTGCAGAGACCCCTGACCTGCAGGTTCGTGTCGAACTAGCTGGATCGTTCAATTCAAAGAACCAAACTGGATTTCATTTGGCTTAAATATTTGTTTCAAGTTTCCTGATGTAGAATTGAATAATTCGGTCAAAACTAGAACGGAAAGCTTTGAAACTGCATTTTAAGTTTAAAAAAAAATCAATAGAAAACTCCCAGTCCAGTTCTAATAATGTCATGGAATTAATTTACATAAGGGAAAGAGGAAAACACTGGTGTATAATGTTCTTTATTAAATATTTGAGGGTAATTAAGTGTTTTTCTTTGCCTTGGCTACTGAAAACAAAGTTGCTCCGTGGAATTTTCTTTTGGTATGTGAAAGCTGTTTGGATCTGCACTGATAGATAAATCTCTCTAGGGAAGGAGGCTCATTTGGATGAATTCATTTTGCAATCATTCTGCTGTTTCCATCTCGCATAAAATAAGCCAAGCTCCTGAGAACCATGGTAGACCAACAGACTGAACGTAAATGGGTTTTGTGCTTCTGGATGAAACATTTTAGAAATAAAGGAAAAGGAAAGTTGTGGTTTTGCTGGTCAAGGGTAAAAAGCCCAAGCACAGTCATTTGCACCAATCTAATATAAGTTACTGGGATATTTGAAATAATGTCACTTTCTCAGAGAGGGCAAGGGTTAGACTCGTCTGCCTCAGGCAGACCTGGATAGGGTAAGTACCAGTGACATTTACTTTATTTGCTTGAGAAAACATTTCTTCAAACTCCTTCTTCTAATCACTTACGCGAAGTTGCCAAACTGTACTATCAAGCCTCACTTCAGCTGAAATTTTTCATCATAAGGTCAAAGAGGCACTCTGTTGTAGCTCTGAGCATCAATCCCTTTGGCTGCTGTTTGGAAGACAGCGGTTCATAGTGCAACCGCTGAAGTCGGATGCTTTCTGGTGGCCGTGCAGCGTAGCAGATACCTGCATTGCTCCAGTCTGGCAGGTCATGGCATCGGGAAATGCAACCATTCCTCCCTCTCCGTTGCAGGTGTGCCAGTTTGTTTTCTCCGTGAATGGAGCGTATGTTCTGCATTTGGACTATCCGACCATCAGCAGCCTCATCATGACGGGACCCCGAACACTTGTGATGGAGGTCATGGAAGCCGTGGAATGAGCGGAGAATTGTCTGCTCCTAATCTCTGCTTCGAGAAATAGCTCCCAAAGAGTGCCCAAATCTCCCCTGTATCCAGCCCTGAGCTGGGTATCTAAGCTCCACAGAGGGGCAAGAGTTGAGAGACATGCAGCGCTCAGCATTTCATTTTAGGTATCTCTAGGTAACTCCCTGCTCAGCAGGAAGGGACCCAACCTGGTCTTTCACTCTCAGAGATTGATGTTTAGCCTGGTATTATGATGTTTCTTAATGCAATTGGAAGTTAATAGGACAGGTCTCATGGCATGGACTGGTAGTTCAGGGCTTCATCCTTGGGGTCAGAGGGTAGGGCTCAACACTGGTGGTGATCCAGATCTTGACAGGGACCGCTCGTCAAGTCACAAATCCAGTGAGACCTGAATTCATTTTGTCATCTAGAGACTGGTAAGTAGCAAGAAGTTGGTTCAAGCCCTACTGTTCTGTGGGATGCCCCCAGGCAGGATATCTGAGTCCCCCTCAACCCTCCTGTGCAAAGAGTTGAGTAGAGATGCTTTTTTGGCAGCTGCGTGTGCACGTCCAGATGAGCTGCTGAATGGTGTTGCTGCCCATGTCAGAAAGTAAAGGCTGCCCGGTTGCCTTTCCCGATATATGAGAAAGCGCCACCTCTTCTGACTGAAACCTGACGTACTCCAAAGGGACATTTCATTTTTATTTCGAAAGGTCCTTAGACTGTATGGCCAATGACTAAAATTGTTAACTTTCTTTTAAATGACTGTTATTTGCGGTATCTTTAATGAATAAGATCTGTCGAGGTGACTCTCCTGTTAAGCGCAAGCGGTAAGAAAATTCCCGCACCTGAGAAAAGAAGATTGGAGACGAACAGAAAAGCCACAGCAGCGGATGCATTTCATAGCTGGTCCTGTCCAAATCTGTACCCAGATGAATTGCAAAAATGTGTATTTTGGTGAAGATGGGTTTTTCACATTCAGGTGATTGATCGCTGAGGGCACTCGCATCTTCACAAAATACTTAGCAAATATATTCTTGTTTCTTTAGTGAGGCATCTAACAACATACTGGCAATAATACAATAAATGTCTTGTGTTATATTTTGTGTGATCCTTTTCTTGTGTGGTGGTGTTGCCCCTAGTACTGACATACCTGGAAGGATCATTGGCAAGAGCAAAACCCAGAGTCCCGTGATTTAAAATGATACGCTATGACTCTGAGGCAGGAGTAAAATTGTGGTCTCACTGGTGTTCATGAGTTCTGCCACTGACTGCGTTTGGTGAGGCTTGGATTTTGCCCAGTCTTGTCTCTCTCAGAAGTCATCTACTCAAATCTCTGTGCAGATTTGGATGAATCTCTCTAGTCTTCCTCCATTTAGACACGATGCAGATCCTAGCAGAAGAATACAAACATGCTACCCACTCTGCCATCAGTGACCTACAGCCTCATTCTTCATAGCAGGACACTGATTTATCAGTTTGCTGCACGTACTGCTAATGATTTTTCCCTAAAGTTGAAGCATTGCTTGTGAAAAATAAATGAATATAATACCACGCATACTGATAGAGGAGGCGGCCGTCTAAGCAACATAGATACTTGCATTGCTTAGAGCTGTATTTTCAGAGGTTGTGTCTGCTGCATCTCCCACTGTCGTCTCACGGACGTTGTGCTGAAGGCTCTTCAGTTTGGTACCTAAATGGGAGCTGACCTCTCTTGAAAATTTGACCCCAAATATACATCATAAATGAGCCGTGAGAGTAGAAATGGCTGCTGTATTGATGCTGATGCTAATGCAGAGGCTGCTGCACATCTGCTGCTGAAACAAGACTATTCATTTGTCGAGCACCGGTGCACCGGCCTTGGGCATATTTGTTGGGACGGTTTGAGTGGGGTCACCAGCACGTTACAGCGTGACGATCTCTTGGGAATACACAGGGATCCATGGGCACCAAGGTGAAACCAGGCAGTCGTTCAATGTATCCATCCACCTGTTTGCTGTTCTCATTTTCAGCCAGATGGGGTGCAAAGAAAGCTGAGTGGTTGCTGGATTGAATTTATAGATTGAATATGAATTCTCAGTTCTACCTGGGAGAAATTGTACAATCTTTGCATTCTCCTATAACCGAGGAAGGGTGCGTGTGCCCGAAAGCTTGCAAATAAAGAAAAAAAAATTGCAATTGTCTAGTTGGTCTAATAAAAGAGATCACCTCTAGCACACTGACTGCTTGTATTTCTTAAACCAACATAGCTAGAGCCTTTATCCCTGAATGGTTGCTGGTGCATTTTAACCATTTTCTCTGTTTTTTGAACAAAAAACTCCTTTTTTGATTTCTGGCTTTGGGTGGGGATGGATGACGGTTCTCCATGGTAGCCCTTGTGCAGCTTGGACTAAGACTAAACAAGAACAGTTCATTGCACAACGCTGCAAGGTGGAGGAAGGGAGGCCAGCCTTCCCTTGGCAACCTGTTTGAATGTGGAAGCCCAAGTACAGCTATTAAAGTTTGGTTTTGGATCCACACAAGTCAGGTTCAGGAAGGCCAGGCCAATCCCCTTCCACTTGTCAGTGTGAGAAATATTTTTTTATCCATTTCAGTAAAGTTTTTTGTTGAATTTTGGTTGGAACAAAATGTGTCTAGCTCACTGAAGCCAAATTCACACCCGCATTTTGGGAGCCAACATTTTCCCCAAAGGTCTCCCTTCAGCTCCATTGAATCCCACTTGCATGAATCCAAGCCCTTGCAAAATCTATGCACGTGCTTATCTTCACTCAAGCATGTCCATGGTGCGGGCCCAAGTAATCAGATGTGAATATGGCCAGCTCTGCTTCTAACTGGCACGGGGGCCATGTCCGCCTTTTGCTGCAGCCCAAGAAATGACTAGCCGTCTTGCTAGATAATTAATTCCTGGCAGGATAATTAATAGGTGAGCTTCCCAGCAGGATGAACAAAATCAATAAGTTTTGCAGAAGCGTGTGTGGGTTTTTTGTGTAGACGACATCTTTATTTAACCAACTATCTTTCCTAAGCCCCAGGCAGCTGCTGGTGTTTGAAGCAGTGCTCTACACGTCGGTGGTGAGAGGGGAGCGGGGGAACCAGCTGTACTCTCTCTCGGTCTCTCTCTCTCTCTCGGCAGTTGTGACGTCTGGGCTAGAAATCTTTCAAAACCCTCCAAGAGCCAGGCAAGGCGCTTGCTCCCCTTCTCGGAGATCAAGAATGTAGTCGGCTTCCTCCTGCCTCCCCAGCCTACTTCAGGGAAAACAGGCTTGAAAGGCAAAGGTTTGTGACAGATCCATGTGCAGGTTTGGGAATCCGGGTGCTCAGGTTTCTCTGCGCTGCTTGGGGCTTTGTTGCTTCGTGGTGCATGGGGCTGTTGGGGTTTTTGGGGGGTTTTTTTGGCTTGTTTCCCCACCTCTCCCGGGAATAAGGAACATTTCTAGACCTGCAAACTACACGAAACTCCCTGCTAAGCGTGGTGTGTTTGTACCGTCCCAACTCACGTAGTGACAAAAAGGTCCAAAAGTTGAAAGCGTTGATCACTTGAAGACCAAGTAACTCGGTTATAGACTTGCATTATCGAGTGTTTTGTGGAGAGGAATTGACTTCTGCAGAGGCTGGAGGACACTGGAAACAGTGTGGTTTTATTTTGCGGTGACTTCTGCAGTATGAAGCCCTGGAGGGAGTTTGGGGGCGGGGGGGGTGGAGAGGGGATTTCTTCCAAGCAGCAAAGTAATTAGAAAGTTTTGTAAACTTGGAGATGAAAGTCTGATGATGGTTGTGGTCGGTTGGGGTGTTTTTTCACCTCCTTATATGCCGTGTCCCTGCACCAAGTTGGTGACACTGAACCTGGCTGTGCTGGGGGAAATTCCCAGGCTGATTTACTTGCCTATTTATTTGGTGACTTTGAACCACTAGACTCAATGGCTTCCTGTGGTCCTTGCCTTCAGGGATCATCTAGACCAGGGCTTCCCAACCTTTCCTTCAGCAAGACCCCATTTAAACCCTGGAAATGTTTTGCCACCCCAAAATGACGCAGACAAGATCAACAAGTCATAAATAAGGCATGGCAGTGTTTATGGTCTTTATATTTTTCATTTAAAACGTTTAAAATCCTTTGACCTTCTTTTTAGAGGTAAAAATCAGCACTGAATACAAAGTCTAAAACAGCTATTAAATGCATTTATTGCTGCATATTTAGAAACGGGAAGCGTGTTCATCATAATCGGTCGACACTGTCAAGCATCTTTGAGACTCCATTTTTTATTGTTGCGACCCCAAATGGGGTCACGACCCCAGGGTTGGGAACTGCTGATCTCGGCTAAGAAAATAGTTCTAGTTTTGAAAACACATGAGCTGGGGTGAGTACCCCCTGTGTAGGCAGGGTTCAACCCTGCAAAACAACATTTGGGAGTGCTTGCTTGCAACGGTTTTGTTCTGATTTTTGATGCTGTCACTTTAACTTGGGTTTTACTCTGGTTGAAATTCCAAAATGTCATTCTGGGGGCAGGGAAGCTGCCCAAAAATCAGCCTTTTGAGAATTTAATATTTTTTCCACCCCCCCCCAAAGTTTTGAGTAGCGAAATTCATCAAACCTGATCTCTTTTTTCCTTAAGAAGTTTGGGTTTTGAGGAATCATTTTGGTTTTGACACACACAAGCTGCCAAAAAAGAGTTCAAACCATTCCTGAGCATCGCTTTGCCACCCCCTTTCCCAAGTACTTTTTTAAAAGGCTAACTAATATTCCAGCTCTAAGTCACCTGTCACCTGGGGATGTCACCTGTGCCCAGGGCAGGTGGCTGTTTTGGGAAAGCACTCACAAAGACAGCTTAACAGTCCCCCATTGCTTCACCCTCTGAAGGGGAGTCCTGCTCTGCCAGGACTGCTAACTTCACCTGTGTGCTTCTGCTGGGAGCATCTCGGCAGGTTTTCTTTTTGTTGTCCCCTCCCTATAAATGGATCATCTTTTCCCAACTAAGCCAAGGTCCTCTGTGTTGTCTACCTTCATCTGAGCTGAGACGCAGAAATTTCCGTGCCCCCCAACCCTGTTTTTAGAAGAATATTTCCTTTTGGAAGAACTTCCACTGCAGCCTCAGAAACTTCATGTAGCACTACCCTTGTGGAGGATGGAAAGCCAAGACTGGGCAATAATTAGGGCAGAAGGTGCAAGGGTAAATAAGTATTGTTCAAAGAAGCATGTAATGGTAGGGGAGTGGGTTACCCAGCTGGTGGGTAAATGTAAACGGATGTCATCTTTGCTGCTAGTTTCAGCCTCCTCCTATATTCGCTGCGTGCACTTGTTGCATCTTGCTGTACTTGTCCTGTGCTTTTTCTCCCTATGCATTTGTACAGCACCTTGCACTGTGAGCCTGATGGGTGTTGTTACCATATAAGTCATGATCTTCAGACCCGCTCTGAAAGGTGACACATGGCTGCATGCAAGAATTCCCGGTGACTGGAAAACAGGCGCTGCGTGCTCCGCATGCTGCCTGTGCATTCCTTCCCTGAGTAAGTAATAGGGGAAAGGAATCTGCCCGCTGGAGGCTGCGGGCCATCAGACAGGGGGATGTCACTGTGCTATTGCATCTCGCATGGCTGACTGGCTACGTGACGGACAACGGCAATGAATAAGACACGACTACAGTAGAACTGCATGGGAAGTTTGGCGTTTAGCATCGCTCCCTTAGGATAGGCATCTTTGCTGGAGCCGCAAGTACAATAACGCCTCGTGCTTTCCAGTGGTACATCGAAAGAGGACGTCAGCACTGCTTTCCCTGTTTTACAGAGGAGCGAGGTTACTTGCAGGCGGGTGCTAGAGACACACTAAGGATCCAGGTGTCTTCAGTGCTGGTGCCTGTGCTAGCCAGATCACGAGGCTGCACATGAACTTTTCTTGGGTGTTTTCCTGAGTCAATACTTGGTAACTAAAATTCCTCTTCCCTTTGCTTCAAGGTAAAAGCTTCTGGCTGAATCAAGGTTGTTGGTTGTAGCCGTGTTGGTCTAAGGACGTAGGCAGGCCATCCCGAGAACCTTGTCTGGCTGAATCCAAACCTTACAACGGGCTTGAGCCAGTGTCCATGAATTTAAATGGGAGAATACATCTCTTCACTTCAATAGGCTTTAGACTCAGCCTAATTTTCACTAAAGTGGAAAAAAACCCAACCTGATACAATTCAGTATCGTACCTCCAGATGGCACCCGGTTTGCCGCTGAACTTTTTAGCAGCGTTACAGGGAGAGTATAAGTGAACACAGAGCAATGGTGGTGGTTGCTGCAATATTCTTATTTCAAGGCCTTTTTGCACAGCTAGAATGTGCTTGCTTTGTACCAGGCCTTTATAAGCAGCATAGACTTTGTGTTGGGTTTTTCATGCGAAGGTTGGTCTTCATCTGACCATGATTTCAGAAGCTCGATTTGTCTGTTTTCCCAAGAAAATGATATAACTGTGTCAAAATGAAATAAAAAGCCAGAGCCTCCAATGCGGGAAGCTCTTGGGTTTCATTGTAGTTATTTCAGATAACACCGAGTGGTGTGGATGGGTGGGTGGGGGGGGGACTGCTTTAGGTTACGGCTCGCACGTCTCTCCATTAATTCTCACTGGCTTTGGGGCCATTAAAAATGTATGAGATTCTTGGCTGACCTCTTGTTTTGCTTTTTGATGAAGAAGCAGCTGATAACATTGGAGTGTAATAGAAAGTTGCCAGAAGCCATTTCATACCTGTTCATCATCTTGCATGGAGCTGAGATGTGGCTCTAGGCGGAAGGGCCGAACCGCTGCGCTCAGTCCGTCTATGCCAACAGCAGCGGGAACGAATGGCGCCGCTTTGCAAATGACAGAAGCTGGTGGTGCATCGCACGAGGCCTGCAGAAATATTTTAAGCTCAAAATCCTAATGGGTCTGAGGTTTCCATCACTTAAATGGGTTTTCCCTGTGGTGTAATGCTATTGTCCTGAATAGAAGCAGCCCATTGATGTTAATAGGACAGCTTCCACTGGTCTCAGCAAGCTGTGGATGGGCTGCTTATGGCATGTCTGCCCTGCAGTCACTTGTTCTGACTCATTTGAGCTCATTTGGGCACCAATAGGTGTTGGTGCAAAGCTCCCCAGGGGCTGGCTGCCTGAGTGTAAAGCTTGCTACTCAACACAGGGTTTGCAGCCCACACTGAGCTCCGTGGTGTTAGAATCGCAGACAATGCAGGTTGGAAGGGACCTCAGGAGATCACATCTAGTCCAACCCTCTGCCCAAAGCAGGACCAGCCCCAACTACATCATCCCAGGCAAGGTTTTGTCTAGCCGGGTCTTCAAAACCTGGAGAGATGGAGAGACCACAACCTCCCTAGGTAACTTGTTCCAGTGCTTTACTATCTTTCAAGTGAGAGAGTTTTTCCCAATATCCAACCTCAACTTCCCTTGCTGCAGCTTGAGCCCATTGCTACTTGTGCTGTCATCTGCCCCCACTGAGACCAGTCCAGCTCCCTCCTCTTTGCAGCCCCCCTGCAGGGAGGTGAAAGCTGCTATTCAATCCCCCCTCGGTCTTCTGTTGTAGCTGTATGGCTAGCAGGACCTATGCCAGTGTGTTTGCAGCTAGCTCAGGTATGTCACCATGCGAGTTGGTCACCGCAGCGGTGGCAGGATTGACATACCCTTAGTTCTAATTTAGGCCAGGGTATGGGAGAAGAGGGGGTTGTGTCCAGCAGATCTCAGCTCCTGTGCAGTGGCCTTGCTGGGCTGAAGCAGGTTTGCCAGTTTATCTCGTAGCAGTGTCACTGGGGAGCCCAGAATCAAGACACTTGTTTTTCTTATAGGACCTACAGAAATGGCAAGGGCTTTGACTTTATTTCTTTAAACCAGAAAGGTTTAAAAACCTGAAAAGGAGTCTGGGGGGTTTTAACTCTCCGCTGGCCTGTTGAGTTCGGAAAGTGCCAAGTGTTCAAACTCCAAAATAACCATTTGAGTGAAAGAGCAGAGCCTCAGATAATGCAGCTTTTTGGCCTAGTGTAGTGTATTTAATTTATCCCTTTCCTTTCGCTGTGCTTGTTTCTTCCTTTATATTGCTCTGAAGGCAGGGAAGTCATCATCACCTTCCATGCAGCAGTGCGTCCTCGTGTTTTGCTCCTGTCTCGTGAGGACTTTGTGGAGGGAGAAGGACAATTGAACTGACTGCAAACCCACAAAATGCCTGTGCAAGAAACCCATGAGAAGATGGTCCTTACTGATACCGGGGGGAAAGCTCAATATTCAGACATGCAGGCTCTCGTGGGGTGGTTGTTTTGGCTATTCTCTAAGGGGAAATGAGCTGAAGCCTTGCAAGAAGGTAGGTGGAGGCCTGGAGCTGTTTTCCCAGCAGCCCTGATCCACAGCAACGGCAGCGGAAAGGAGAGGAATGCGTCTCACTGTTTTGCCATGATGACTGCAAATGATTATTTCTCACTTCATTTTTCAGAAATACCCAAACCATTCTGGAATCTGGTTGTGTTTTTTTTTTTTTTTT